TCTCACTCAGCGTGCAGCGGAAACGTTTGGCTATAGTGTTTTATCAATAGCCTTATTGAAATATGCTTGGGCTAGTCTAACATTACCCTTCTATTCGCGTTACCTGATGGCAGGTCCTGCCTTTCAGCGTGCTTTGCTCCTCTTGTTGTCTGTCACTTTTGGCATCGAAATAGGTTTCAAGCTTGCTACCAAAACGCTCATATGGCTACTTAACCCTTGTCATTTATTGACGTGTATGCAGGTACTTTGCTTTATGCCCAAACTACATATTGTCTTGGAAACGCCATCTGATTGCCGTTACTTTATAGATCTATATTCTTACAGCGAGGCCTTCGGCTCTGGTGACTGCTATTTATCGTGTGCACATTCACATGCTAAACGGTCCTCTTTTAGCACTTACTTTTCCTATATTAAACACTCGCAAGGTAATTATACGTAAAAATTTTAGCTACATAAATACAATTTTGCTCCATTTTGACTTATCCAGGCCGCATACTTTGATTTAATTTAATGTGTTCTTATTTACTTTTCATTTTAGCTTCCACTCGAGCAATTTGTTTACTTTCTACAGCACACAATCATACTTTTCTTGCCAGCAATCATAATGCGTCCTAACTGTACGTATACTTTAATGTATTAACTTTATGTGATCATTGGTTCATTTTAATTTGTGGGGACTCTCAATCTTTACTTTAGCTGTCTACTCTGTCGAGCCCTTGAATGATAGATCTTGGGTAATTGTGTCGTTCAGTCTTCAATCATTGTATCATTTTCTGATTCTGCAGCCTATTGGACTTGTAAGATATAAAAAAATTACCTTATTGCATTTTGCTTCATCTTTTAATGCACATAATCAAATTTATTTGGAAATTAAAACCCCCATATCCATCACGCAATAGCTCCTATGGTCTCCAGTATGTCATTTATGTATATCAAATACTCATTTAATTATAGGTTTTTCTGGAAATTTTTAAATCTGGATTGCCTAAGTGATCTACTTCTTTATTTAAAACTAATGTCATAGTACTGAGAGGACGCATGTTTTATATTTTATTTAGATTATGTTATGCTGAATTTTTCACGATACCACGTGTCCCTTGCCTTTGTAAAAACCAGCTTTCGTTTATGAGCTTAATTACCTTTAATTTTGGTGTTGCCTATTAAATTATTTCAAATGCCATAAACATGACTAATGCTAAATAGGAACTCCAAATTGCATTGCAGAGCATTCATAATAAATCTTTTAACGATAAAATAAAGAGGACTTTTCTGAATTTAACACATTTCTTTGCAAGACTGACTTTGTTTTTAAACTGGGAAAGCATTGGGACTCGCCTACAACTAATTTTCAGTCTCTGAACGCTATTTTTTATATAATATGTCAAGCATACTCTTAACGTTGATTATTTCATTAAAATATCATATTCCTATTTCATTTTTCATTTCATCTTTATTATTCATATGACATTTAAGCTTGGTTTACATCTTTTCCGTTTTATTTTTGGATTTTCTTTTATTCAAATTAATGGGACCCTTTCTGATGTCTACAATATTTAGAATCA